CGACGTCAACTCCTTACACCGCGACTCTAGAGCAAACGCTCTAAACACTGCGTCACGCGGGCGACCCTCAGCATGATGAAAACATTTCTTATAACTACAGGTGACATTTTCCCACACATCTATGAGTATACGTATTGAGGAATAAAATTGTAATCACAAAGTACCCTGTCGTTATTCTTTGTTGTATGCAATTTAATTGATCATGATATCATGAATGGTGAGAGGTATTAGTTTTCAAGAACATAACTTTTAGTGTCTTATTAAGAGTTGGTTAAGTTTCAAAGAAGTCTTGCTTTATGTTATTTTAAGTGTACATCATTTGAAGGTTCAAGGTTTTCTAATCACATGTCGTTCATCACCTGTGCATGTGCGTCTGTCCTTTGTTAACATTTGACAATTTCAACCTCTTCTCCAGATCAACTTAACCAATTTCAAACTAACTTGCTTCAAAACATACTTAAATAATTAGGATTTTTTTTTCAAACGAAGGACCGCTATCTTTTCCAAGGAGCGGTAGTCAAATTTTATATTTCCAGTTTTCTCTGCGACAACTGTTTGAAAGTTAAGCGTGTTAGTTTTCTTGATATTTACAATTGAATGTAAAATTCACCAAGTGATAGATAAAGTGCCTAATACACATGTCAATTTCCAGATGTTATTGTGTCTGACTTCGGTGGGTGGGGACTATGGAAATTAATATGGAATACCTCTTGTATTTCAATTCTATACAGCAATTCTAAATTTATATCTGCATTTTTATTTCACACATAAATGTAAATATAAATAATCACTGTCTAGATTGTTGGGTATACCCGTTATGCAAATCATCCTATGTTTCTAACTGTCGTTAATGACCTGGCATACCCAACAAACTAATTTGAGGCGAAAATAGGGTAAGATTTTTCAACAATTTTTTGGCTAAGAAAAAGAAGTTAATCAATGTTTTATAATGCATTTAAAATTCTTGGTAATTATGAAATGGTTTTCTAATTATTGAACAATAATGAAACAAAAACACTACCACATGTGAATGTTCCGTTATTGAAGCTTCTGATTTGATCTGTAACTGCCTGCTTATGAAAGAAGCAATAAATCACTGTGACCACTTGGGGAATTCTTCACTAGCCACACAGAGGTTATCAGTAATTAAACTACAGGGACTCTAGATTTAGAGAAGGGGATCTAACAGATAATAGGAGGCGGAGCGTAGCTCTTGCCATTTTGCGGGACATCTTTCTGATTCAGAATTAAACCTATTTTACTTAATTAAAAGCATCTAAGTACAGAAATGAACCTCCCATTCTTGTGAATATGCATAGGAAATATGGCTAAGTGACAGGTATCCAAAGGTGAATCTCCAAGTGTCATATAATTCTAGCTTTGGCAGATTTTGTTGTGTGATGGGTTTTTGCCTTCTACTGTAAAGTAAGATCAGACAGTTTGTGATATTATTTTAAAGGATTCAGCTCCCTTATTTATTGACCATTTTCTCTGAAAATTGGATGGGTTGCTTCTCAAACTCAAATGTGTGTTCACAAAATCGTATCTCAGATTTTTTATATCTAGCTTAGTTTTGGAATTATTGAGGGAAATGTTAAATTAGGCCAATTAATTGGTAACATTGAAGTGCAAATGGCTGTAACTTTTGAATTAGAAGATTTATAAAAGATCTGAGATACAGTTTTGAAGTCCAATCTTTAATCTACCTTGAGGCAAATTGTCCACTTTGAGGGGTAAAATACAAAAAAGTTGATTTATAAAATATTTATGCACTAAAATTTACATTAATATTTAAATAATTTTAAATAAGTTATTAATTAAAGTTTAAATTAGGATAATTAAATAGTAAATTTAACAAGCTTTCAAATGATAGATACTTTTACTATGTTATCTTTGATAATGAAAGAATTACATGCAAATTAAATTCTGGCATTTGAAAACTTTGGTGTATCCATAATATGAAAGCACCCTCATGTATTGAAGATTCATGTTTATTCAATTCATGATCCGGGGTAGAGTTGGGCCTTAAAAGGGAAACAAAGAGAATAAATCTATAAAAATATTCTTTCAGAGATCATAAAAATAATGAAAAATAAGCAAGCAACCTTAGGTAGTTTGTACTATTCATGTAACAATGATGAAGAGTTGGGCCAAGATAGGGGATCAAAGTTTCACATGAAAGGTCTAGTTTATGGGAAAAACAAATCTTTTGAAAATTTTCCTCTCAAGAACAGTAGGACCATGGTTTGTCATAATAATATGCAAATATTCTCAGTGCACTTTTTCAAAGTTTGTTCAAATAATCTTCCTTGGAAGTAGGGTGGAACCATATCAGGGGATCAGAAATTTACATGTGAATATGTCGAAAATTTAAAAAAAAACGTAGAGTAGCAGAGCAATTTATCAACGTGCGAACATTTTTAAATTTGTGTCTGTTCAATTTAATTTTAAAATCATGGACTCTGGGATTCATTGGGTTAAAATCAGGGTTCAGATTTTTTGAATGCATACAAATAAAATTCTTCCTCCTCAGAGCAGCAAGATCCTTTTATCATATTGCTATTAAAACATCCCCATCTTGTGTAACTTCAAGTTTGGTTAGATCATAACACCCTGGGATTAGGATGGAGCATTTATATGGGTCAATTTTTTCGTTGGAATAAAGAAAGTCATCTTCTGATGAAAAGCGGAGCCAACTTTAATCAGGTTAGCCTTATAATCCGCATACCTCTTGTTTATATTATTATACAGTTTGATATGATGATTTGTGACAATATCGTATTTTCAAAATTTCACCATAATGAAGAGGTGGTGATATACACATATTATTTTTGAAATACTTTGATGTACGTCAACTCAGTCATTATTATTTTTGAAATACTTTGATGTACGTCAACTCAATCATTATTAAATTGTAAATCACCAATTCAAATGAGACTATGACGTGTAACACAGGTATGAAACACAGCAGTCTAAGAGCCTTATATACTTGTCTATATGGTTTACACCTTTTTTTGCAATGCATTTCATTGATTATCATGATTGTCAAATGAGGTATTTTATTGTGTATAATTACGCAACTCTCCATCCATTTGGGGGGGGGGGGTTAGAAAAATAGTGCATGCATCACTCATCGCAACATACCAAAAGTGTATTAGCCAATCAGATTTCAACACATATGCATTCACATGTTTTACGATTTTTATGCCCCCCTTCGAAGAAGGGAGGGCATATTGCTTTGCTGCTGTCTGTCTGTCTGTCGGTCTGTCAGTCCACCAACAGTTTCCGTTCATTTTCTTCACAGAGGTAGCACATACTAAAATGAAATTTGGTATACAGAATTATCATAAAAATCGAGCAAGTTCTGACAGAGTTATGCCCCTTGGACTTAGAAAAATTCCAATTATTGGGGGGGGGGGGGGCATAAGTGTTTCACAAACATCTCTTGTTTTTTTTTTAATATATCTTCCCATAGTGTATCACTTTATATACCTATGTATGACATAGTGCAGTCATCGGAAACAATGTAGGTATAGCCATATGAGTATTAGCCAATCAGATTTCAACACATGTGCATGCACATGTTTTACGATTTTTTTGATATACCTTCCCATAGTGTATCACTTTATATACTTATGTATGACATAGGGCAGAATTTAATTGAAAAGTAAGAGATTTGTTGAAAAGTAAGGGAATTATATTATACTCGATATATTCCAGTGAACTCGAAATCAAAGACACCACAGAGTCTGCTACATCTGTTTCATATTTGGATGTTTTATTGACTATAGACGAAAAGAGCCATCTAACAACTAAACTGTATGACAAACGAGATGACTTAGGTTTTTACATTGTCAACTTTCTTTATATAATAATATTTCGATATCACCAGCATATGGTGTTTATGTCTCCCAACTCATTTTAAACTCAAGAGCATGCTCTGAGTACGATCAATTTTTAAACCGAGGCAGACTACTGACAGATAACTTGATGTTACAGGGATTTCAACTACCTCGTTTAAAGTCAGCAATTCGTAAACACTACGATCGCTATGCTTTACGTATGAACATTTTCTTAAACGAGGTAAGTTATTAACAAACAAGTTGATGAAATAAGAATATCAACAGACTCGTTTAAAGTCATCATTTCGTAAGTTCTATGGTCGATACAATGACCTTGTCAGCGAATACAATCTATCATTAAGTCATATGCTGATTGACGTTTTTCATACTAATTGTTATGCCATTACTTACACACTGAATTGTCGACGGATTTTCCCGTTATTTACCGATCATGACAAGGAGCACAAGGCGGGTATGACCGGTCGGCAGGGGATGCTTACTCCTCCATGGCACCTGATCCCACCTCTGATGTTTTTGGAGGTCTGTGTTTGCTCTGCTCACAATTTGTATTGTTTAAATGGACTTGGGCTTGAATATTGTTCGTTATCTCCATATTTCATTTAGTTTCATTTACAGGTTGATTTAATATATATCCCTTTAAACTCGAAATAAGAGACGCCACAGAGTTTGACACATCAGCTTCTTATTTGGATATTCGTCTAGAAAAAGACATAGATAGAAACCTTATAACAAAACTTATTGATAAAAGTGATGACATCAACTTTTATATCATCAACTTCTCTTATTTATGTAGCAAATGACCCTATCACCTGCATATGGTGTTTATGTCTCCTATCTTATTAGGTACGCAAGATCATGGTCTATGTTTTCTAAAACAATTTCTAAAACGAGCCGAGTTATTGACAAATAAACTGATAATACAAGGAAATCAACACTCTGACTTAAAGTCAACATTTCGCAAAGTCCATTGCAAGACACTTCTTTTCATGTAAAAAATAAACTTGGACAGTTTTATTGAACTTCCTGAACACCGCCTTCCTGTTTCTTGCTCCACTTACTGTAATTTTGTGTTTCTCAAATACTTTATTCTGGTTTCTTTAATTTATATTTTTGTTAGCTTTTGTTATAAAATCAAAATGTCACAGTGTTATTTATTTGACAGTAGTTTTTTTCATAACATTCAAAATATTGGTATGCACCTGTAGGACCCTGGGACAGAAGGTGCTATCATTGATCGCTTTGTTTGTACCGTTGTGGAGTCGGGAACAAATGCACATTTCAGTCCAGCACCACAACTGCAATGACCGTTTAGTTTGTCAAATACACTACAGTATTCTCCTTCAAGCTGATATCTCTCACAAACACCTAAAATTATTTTAAAACATGGTAAATAAAAAGTTTAAATACATATAATTGAAAAAATGAAAATGTTGAAAATAGAAATGTATTTCTTTAATGACATGAGAAACAATTATGGATTACCATGTGATGATGATATCAAACTGGCTAACTCTTGTCGCTTGCTCATAATCATTGGACCCTCGTGACGAAAACAGCATTCTCCTGTGCCACATTCAGCATCTGTGAAGCAGCGGCCTGCATACTGTATGTGAAAGCATTTTTACCACAAAGATTGGGGGAAAATGAATTCATAAATATTAAAGAGTTTTATGTTCGATAGCATTTCCAAATACGTCAATTTGTGAATAAATTTCTTAAATTTTATTTTGATGGGGTTGTAGACAGTAGGACGGTATCTGTTAATGCACTGATTCTTCGCTCCAGATCACACCTAGTTCCATATTTTCATCTCTAAATTAAGATATTCAAGAAATCAAATTTCCTCGTTCGTACCCTTCTTTTTCCGAGCTTCGGCTTAGGTTGGGTCTTGTATAAATGGTATTAATTTGGTCATTTATGTCGACAATTTTTATTTTTATTTTCGTGTTCACCGACACTTAACTTTAACTGAGACACTTTTTACGTTCATGTAGTAAGAAAAAAAGATATTCGTGCGCAGATTATCATGTTATGACGTTCTATAATTTATTTAAACGTTAGTTAGAGCTTATATAGACATTTGGCAGCATCAAAATAGAAGACATTTTCAATCAATAAAATTAAATTATGTGATTAATTAATTACCGTGATTGAAAGCACACCGAGAAATGACAGAACAAGTAATAAAGTCCTCATTGCAAATTTGGTTTTGGAACAGATACGTGTTCTTAATATGCTTATCTGCTACAACTTGAACTAAGACTTACTGTTATCAAGGGATGGGCCAAATTAGCCAACGAGAAAATTCTAGACAGCAAGTGCTGTTCTAAATTTTGGACATATTATTGGTACCACATTCTTGAAGACTTAAAAGAGATTACTTCCGTACTTTATACAAAAAAATTATATGAAAAACAGTACATGTATAGGTTTATCAAATGCATTTTCAATGATCAAATTTCCATATTTTTTCATTTAATCTGAGTTTTGATTTGTTCACATCATATTTTTTTCTTTGGTCCAATTCCGTTTAATCAACTTAATTTCTAGAAAATTCTTGAGTAAAGGTTTAAGGTCGAAGGTCAGAGGTCAAAGAATAACTTTAAATAAAATCCTTGTCAGGAGTATGAATTATTTTAATTTTAGAATCAATATAGCTTTGGCAAAGAAGAAAAAAAACATGCTTGCATGCCAAGTATTTTTTCCCAACAAATTAACAATTTACATAGAATAAACTACTAATTTTGCGTCATTAAAATATCTGAATATTGAAATTATACATATGAATGACCGATTTCTCTGTCTTTGGTGGAGTTCATGTATTTTAGCCCTCATCTGAATATCGACTTAAAACTAGTTGTTTTGGCACGGACTTTTCATTGCACCTTATCTACACCTGTACTTATGTCCGAATTTCACATTTAATCCCATCTGATCCCGCCTCTGGAATATCCGTGAGTCCGTGTTGTAGAGTTTTGAGATCGATCACTGTTCTTTACCTCGTCTTTTTCATTAAGAAAGTCCCCACTCTTAAGTATCCGATTCGATGAATGCTATTTGTTGAGAGGTGTGTTGTAATTGAAATATGTTTATATTGTTTCATCATGTATATATTAAGAAACGTAAAGAAACTTCTGGAACATTCCAGAGAGGTCTATATGTATGATCATTTTTCCTAGAACATGCTTGAATTTGTGTACATGTATGTCCAGAATGTTCTAGTAACATCACTTATCTACAATTTCTAGAATGTTCTAGAATTATGTTAATTTATAAATACACTGTCAATATTGTATGCATGGTAATACTGGCGTACCAAAAAAAAAAAAGGCTGGTGGTCAGAGTACAAAGAGACTGGGATAGGATACACTCACTGGAACATTGTGTGTAGTAACGGATACTCTGTTGTATGTATGTTTGGATTCTTGCTGTAAGTTTGTACTTTTTGATTTTTATATATTATTGTAAATAAATTATTATTAAGTTTAACCTGTGTGATTGTTTTTGCTGGCATTTCGGGTTATTCTGACTCATAACAGAATTGGGGGCTCGTCCAGGAACATATCAAATGCAAAGAATATGTTATTTATATAGAGGAAAATAATACAACATGATTTTTAATACGTTTATTATGATATGGGTGATTGTTGGTCGTGGCATCTTTAAAAGCAGCAAGGGGTCGCCAAGCATAAAGGGCGACCCCAAATTACAACAAGCAGCAGCAGCAGCAAACAACATGAAAGCATATACATATACTATTAATAAGCATAAATATGGCCGTTCCGGGTATACCGCGAACGGTTATTAACTTTACAATGATATTTTATGTTTTTTTACATAAACTTTACATGTATGTAGAGTTATCGTTCCGGGTTAACCACGAACGTTACTCAACATAATTATTTTAGCAAGCAAAGCAATGCATGAATTTGTTGAAAGCAGTACACATTTTGCACAGTAACTGAGTTTGTTTTAAGCAAGCAAAGCAGATCAGTTCATGAATTTGTTGAAAGCAGCACAAATTTTCAACGTAAATAAGTTTGTTTTAAGCAGCAGCAGCACAATGAATTATAGCATCAGTTGAATGGCTCGGCGCAAACGCCACATGGCCGAAACCTTTGGAAACCACAGGTTTCGGTCACCCCATAAAATGGGGAAGCCGCATTCAACTGACCCACGACCAACAGCCCTTAATATATCCTATTTACTGGGTAAAACTTTAATACCTAAATACTTACTCCTGACCCCCCCCCTTTTTTTTTAATTTAAAGATATTTAATACAGACAGATAATATGTGCCATTTCCTTATTGATGTTTTAATATGCAAGTTTTATGAGGAATTATACAGGAACAGATTTTATATTAGATTATCCCTGGGTTATTTTACAGCAAATATATATTTTTATATATAAATTTAATGAATAACTAAGGTATTAAGATGCATTACATCTGGAGCAAACTATTGCCCTGTCATTATAAAATGGCTGGTTCTAGTACACCTCTCTCATCTCAACAGCAGAAAAAGTATCAATTTATTCAAGCTGATTTAAAGCAACCTTGTTCTGGGGGAAAACCATGTTACTGATACTGAATTCATTGATACTGTTATCATTGGAAATCTTTGCTATCAAATAAATCATGTTATTGTATTTTGTAAAAGGTCAACTATTAGGGAATAGTCCCACTTATAGTGCTTACATACATATGTTTCAAACCCAATGTTTGTTTGTTTTTGTTTTTTTTTTTATCCCCACAGTGAATCAAAATGAAATCTTGAAATTTTCAATACTTGGTATGCCAAATAAAAATCTTTCTTATTTAGGATTAAATGAATACTTAAAAGCAGAATAACCTTGTCACCATACTTGAATTCTATTTTTATAGGTTCTAACTCTATTCAAATTGCTTCTCCAACCAAAATAATCTTTATAAATGAGGAGCCTACACACTATAAACTTGATCCTTCCAGTTACTGAACGACATGTACTAGGAATATACATGTAGAACTTGTAAAATTTAACTTCTAATGTGTCTTATAGACTCACAAGTCATACAGAATGCCTTCACTACCTAGAAACAGGGCAGACATGGTCACTAATAAATGACTAATAAACACAGCAACCCCCTTCCCCTATCTTACTGGATTGCAAGAACATCTTACTTCATCCTACTTATAACAAATATGAATTATTGTGTAGACATTGCCAGACAGTGCATTATACCCACAATCCTCAAGGTATAGAGACCAGGGCCAGAAAATAATTATTTTTGTTTACTGGTCACTCGGGCTATTGCCTTAATTTTTTACTGGTCATCTTAGTACTTTCATCGTCCCAATGGGCCAGTAGATTTTAAAAAGACTGAACAAGGACAAAACCATAATAATAAAAGTAATATTTTTTTTATATTGTGATACTTAAAAGTACAACTTAACAAAACAAGAAACAGTAGAAGTTGGGACACACAGCCCTGTCAAGTTAACTAGCCCTTCCGTGAATGAATTTTATTATGCATAAAAAAATGCTGACCCAAAGGGCACATGCCTTCTGCAATATTGTACTAGCCCAGATTGAAAATCCACTGGCCCCAGACCAGCGGACCATCAATTATTTCGAGCCCTGATAGAGACTAATATAATTATAACAAAATTTCCTCAATTTAGACAAAAATTGAAAATAATATGATGGGAGGAAGACACTCTCTGCTTAATAAAGGCTTAATCCATACCTTGAACAGGTTTGCAGTTAAAAAGTACTGTTAAAATATAAGTGACGAAACCATGTGAACTTTTGTCATGCATTAAATCTTATAGCTGACAAACAAAATTTTGCTGTTGATTCTGCATGAATGACCTGTTAAAAGGGTAGGAACCTATACTTAACTGCTAACTTAACTGGAAATAATTTGACAAATACTTTAATTCCTAGTCCATAAACAGTAGTTTTGTATTTTTCAAAAATTATGCTTGTAACAGCTTAAGTGGCTAAAGATGTAGCTATTAGGTGAAATTCCAATGGGCTGGATTGAGAATGTTTCTGCCCCTGGGTCTTATATACCTGAGCCATTAACAATACTTACCAAAGAAAATTATCAATGTGAAATATCACTTTCAATTGGCAAACAGCTGGAGCTTATGAAATCAACTCGAAAAATTTCAAGTCCTTTGAATAATTGCCTTCTGGTTTCATCAATTAATTAGCTACTTGTAAAAAAGGAAACAAAAATTATGCCTTCAGTCTTACCTTCAAAATTCCCATGCTACCTGTACATGAATCAGTTTGAAGTTGTATTACTTATGTGTACTTGAATTGACCTACACTAGACCTTGAAATTTATAAATCTCACTGAATCTTTGAAGAAATACAGATACTCCCAATCCTGGTAATTCTACTGTCATGATGGGCTCAAAAGGAGCATTCCTTGCATAGTAGACTCTTCTATTGAAAACCCTATCCCCACAGAATTATTATTTCAACATGAGAGTCAGATACTAATTATCTTACAATAAAATTGTTTTTATTCCACAAATTTTGAATGAGTTGCTTATGTCCAAAGTTGCAGTAATATTTTAAACCCAAGCATGTGTTTTAGTCTTCTTATCTGTTGTAAATTGTTCCATGAACTTCTAAAGTCCTACTTTAAAAATGAAATTACTATTTGAATGATTTTTAGTAAACCATTAAAATATGGCAAAAATTTTAACTGAAAACAATCACTGACAAACCTAATAAGTTAAATGTCTAAACAAGAAGATAAAATCTCCAGTAAACACAAGTATTAAACCTGAATGAAATTTTTACCAACAGAACTTTGTTATTGGGCATGTAAATCACCTTTTGAAGCTTTATTTAAGCAATTTTGTCAGAAGCAGAGAATTGGAGTATTGATGAATATACATATTCAAATGGTTTACATTTCTGGGTCACACAGAACACCCCAGACTTTTAATACTACCCACACCTAAAAAAATAAAATTTGTCAATCAGCTGGTCATAGCAAAATAGCAAAGATATGTTCATGAACATGAAGCCTTGCTCTATTTGATCAATGATTTGTCAGTTTCCTTAATTAACAAATCTATCTCCCTAATTTCCCCAACCCCCAAATAAATTGGAAAATTCTTATTTACTAGTGTAGTGTAAATAGGTGGAGTGCAAGTGCAAGACTTAAGAGTACAAATAATTAGGTGAATCAA